TGGGAAATAACAGAGTTGTCTGGTTTCTCTCATATTTAATAAAGTTTTCCTTTATTAATCCTAACATTATAATGTCCTCACACATTAAATGTTACAGAGTTTTACAAAATAGAAATAATAAAAATTATTAAAATTATTTTAATGTATATATTGATTAAATAAAAGTTATAATAATAATAATATAATAATAATTATTATTTTATTAAGTATAAAAAATTATTTAATAATTAATTTAATTTAAAATTTAATTAAATTTTATTAAAAAAACATAAATTTTATATTAAACATAGAATTTTTTAAAAGATTTTAGATATTTTTTAAAAATAATTTTATATAATAAAAAAACAAACCAATTTAATAACATTTAATAATAAGTTTTTTATAATTTTTTTATAAGTTTAAAAGTTTTATTCATTTTTATATTTATTTTTTTTAAAAAATTTTTCTTTAGTAAAATTTTAATTTCTGTTCATATTTTATATATAAATTTTTATGTATATATAATTTATAATATATTTTTTGAAAAAAAATTTTTGACTTTAAATCAATATTTTTGAATAAATTTATTAATTAAACATTAATAAAACTTTTAATATTTTATTAATTAAGTTATAAAAAATATATATTTAAAGTTTTATTTCAATTAAATTATTATTTATTAAATTATAATAAAAAATATCAATGCAATTTATATTTATAACAATAAAAATAATATACACTATATAATTAAATGTAAGTACATGACAATCATAACGTGATTGATTCTAGTTACAGTACATATAATAATTTTAATTAAATTTTTCATTTCGAATAAGTTATAAGGTATTATGTTACAATTGGCATTGTATCATAATACTTTCGGGTATTAAAATATTCTATTATTATAATCATATATTTTTAGACGTTTTCGAATGCTCATAATTTTCTGTATACTGTCTAATTCTTGGATAGTTTGCCATATCAAAAGTTGAATGCACTTGTTCTTTATGACAGAAATAGACAGCCTTGAATTTAACAACTTTGTCCATTTTCCAAATTTCTTGTCTTAAACGAATATTATTTATATTCAAAAACATGTCAAGTAAAGAAATAAAATAAATAATTTACAAATTAACAATCTTAAACATTAGTTTACAGTACAAATTAAAAATATGTCGTCTAATGACTACTCAAGGAATAATTAATTAATTAATTAATTAATTAATTAATTTGTAATTGAGGAATATTATAATATAAGTTGAGACTTTCGGGGTTTGCGATAGTCTCAGACGGAGTGATTGCCTCCCCGGAAATTATGCGTTTTACGATAGTTTCGATTTTCTTACCATTTATCGTGTACTACGAATAGAAGCGACCAAGAATTAGAAACCGATCAAATTAAAAGCATGAAATGGAATCGCTTCACCGCATAATAATACATACCGGGATGTCCGCGATGGGTAAAATAAAAGCTGGAACATGCCTCGGACTTAATTGCTCTCTGATTTGTTTCTTTATCCTTAAAATCAATTCTTCACCACATTCGCAGTCATCGACCAT